TCAATGGATGAAGGAATAAAGAAGATGTGGTATATGTACACAATGTAATAGGAGTTAGAAAAGAATAAGTTTGCCATTTGCAGCAACATGGATGGACCTGGAGAACATTATGCTAGGTGAAATATGTCTGACAGAGAAAGACAAATATTGTATGACATAACTTATATGTGGAATCTAAAAACACTATAAACTAGTGAATATAACCAAAAAGAAGCAAACTCACAGAGAACAAACTAGTGGTTACCAGGAGACAGAGGGAAGGGGGGCGATTTAGAGGTAGGGAATTAAGAGGTACTAATTATTATATACAGGGCTTCCCTGATAGCTCAGTTGGTAAAGAATCCGCCTGCAATGTGGGAGACCTGGGTTCTATCCTGGGTTGGGAATATCCCCTGGAGAAGGGAAAAGTTACCCACTCCAGTCTTCTGCCTGGAGAATTCCATGGACAGCCCATGGGGTCGCAGAGTCAGACACGACTGAGCGCCTTTCACTCACTTCACTTAATTATTATATACAGAGTAAGTTACATGGATATACTGTAAAACAAAGGGAACACAGCCACCATTTTGTAATAACTATAGAGTATAACATTTAAAGCTGTGAATCACTATACTGTGCACCTATAACTTATATGTTAATAATATTGTATGAAAATAAATAAATGGTCTTATACAAATAACCACTTGAACATTTACATAACTCTTAAAGAATTAATTTTTAGAAAAAAAATGTGTACTGTGCTCATTTAGTGATTACGTATAAGAAAGAACTATTGCAACAGTCTTTTGAAGTGACTGGAACAGAAGTTGATAAGCAGGCATTCAGAAAATATTTGTTGAACAAAGAGAAGACATTTGAAATTGCTATAAGCAAATGAATGGGTGTTCAGAGTTCTTATAAAGCATACTCCTTGAGGGACCAAGAGATAGTTAGATTTCATGCAGCTCTCTCGGGGGTTTCCAATGTTTCTACTGTAGTATATCATTCTGCCTTCTTTTCTGAATTATTTATCTATTAATTGATTTACTCAGCCAGAATTACTGAATTGCCATGCTGTGTACTAGGGATTTGTGACTCAGGTCATGGGGAGAAGGTCTTATATTACAGTATAAGTTCACTATGCTTTATCATACCTCAGTCTTTTAACTTAGGAACAACAGAAAAGAGCAGCAGTGCGGTGGGATAGAAAGACTATAGATTTTAGAACCACATCACAGCCCTTCCGTAAGACATAGCCATGATGTCCATAAAATCTATAATCGAGAACCTGCCATGTAAGATCTTAATATAAATACCCATAATTATTTAATATAAAAATAACCTTAGAAATGCATTTTAGCTGAACATAAAAGATACTTGATATTACTGAAGATTTTAAAAACTTGTGAGAAATCTGAAGCATCAGTTCAGTTCTGCAGTTCAGTTGTTCAGTTGTGCCCAACTCTTTGCAACCCCATGGACTGCAGCACGCCAGGCATCCCTGATCATCACCAACTCCCAGAGTTTACTCAAATTCATGTCCATTGAGTCGGTGATGCCATCAAACCATCTCATCCTCTGTCATCCCCTGCTCCTCCCACATCCTACAGTTATTCAGAGATGAATGGTATTAATAACTGCATAGAATACTAGCTATCTGAACCAGATATGAAATGTTAAATATTCTATTACATTTTTAAAACTATCTTGAAAACTTAGAGCAAAAAAGAAAATGTTCAATTTGTCTGCAATTTTCTTTTTGCCACAGAAAAAAAACAACACACAATAGAGACCACAAAGGCAATATGTATGGAGATTCTAGCTGTTAAAATAAGCAGCTACCTTATACTCTATCATAGACAGAGTTTCAGAGAGACAGGCTTTTCTTCCAAAGATACTTATCACAGTCCAGAAACAATTAAAACTTTAGAAAAAAGACAAGACATCATTTATTTCCTCCCCACTTCTTTATTTCACATCCACACACAGATGTCAGAAAGCTCTTCACTTTCAATACTTAGAAAATGGATTATATTAAGAAGGATATGCTTATTATACTACACTGAAATGTATCTGGAGGCCACACTAGTGCCCCAAATTAGAAAGGAATATATATATAGATAAATAGATAGACAGATAAGAGAAAGAGAGAGAGAGATGGGCACTCTTTGTCTGCAAAAGCCTTTATGAAGATGACCTGCACACCTGCCATGCAATCTCACCCTCATGTTCGAGCCCACAGAACAAGATCATTTCATAACTCCATGCTTTCACAGCCTATTCTCTCTGGCTAGTAGGAATCCTCTTAGTCCAATTCTTTTACCCCTTGAAAACTACCACTCATTTTGAAAACCCAAGTGGAATAATACCTGAAAGCTTCCCGGCACCTTTCAGAAAGAATTCATCACTTCACCCTCTCTATGTCTAAGGACGTCTATTCTCTAGAGCAGTAAGCACCACTTTCATCACGTTCCCTAAGAGCACACCAGCTCCAAATTCCAAGTGCTCATCACTGTCCCTGGCATGTACTATGTGTTCAATGAATATCTTTTAAATTAAGGACTTAGTTTCTTAAGTCCTCCAAGGACAGTTTACAAGTATTTCTAGTTATACAAATTCAGCAGCAAGCAGAAATGGTATAGTTCAAAATTAATAGACTTATTATGGATTAAATCTGGTTCTTAAATAACTATAAACATCAAAGTCACAATTTTACATTTCTGTAGCAGAGCTAAATAATGTGGCCTCTCCTCTAATTAAGCCTGGATATGGTGACCACACTGGGAAGTTCAGAGAAGTTTGCTAAAATAAAGTGTTCACATTCCAGGCAAAGGGAAGGTGCTATCATCAGGATATTCAGATGCTTTTAGAAGCACTTGATTCAATCACCATTTCAATCAAAAATCAAAAATGTACACTTAATATCAAACCAGTCAATCCTAAAGGAAATCAACCCTGATTATCCATTGGAAGGACTGATGCTGAAGCTGAAGCTCCAATACTTTGGCCACCTGATGCAGAGTCAACTCACTGGAAAAGACCCTGAGGCTGAACAAGAGTGAGGGTCAGAGGAAAATGGGGTTACAGAGAATGAGATGGTTGGATGGCATCAGCGATTCAATGGACATGAGTTTGAGCAAACTCTGGGACATAGTGAAGGACAGGGAAGCCTGGTGTGCTGCAGTACATGTGGTCATAAAGAGTTAGAGATAACTTAGCAACTGAACAACACTTATTAATGAAATTGTTGTGTTCAAAGGGGCTTTAAAAAAAAAAACAACTCATCTACTGTTAACTTTGTCATGGGAAAATAAGTACAAAATAGCAATTATCCTTTCATGCTGTGAATACTTGATCTGTTCTTATGTAAAGCTATAGTACCACAAATAGTATTATGATAATAAAAAACTAATAGCTCTGTTACAGACCAATGAATATAATCACATACTAATATTGAGAACTTAATGTATGTATCATGTAAGTTACCAAGTCAACTTGATAAACAGACAAATTCATATGTGAAGTAATATAGAAGTCTATTATTCCATTAAAATTTCTTTAAAATATTAACAGTGCTTGTTAAGTTGCAAATATAGGCAAAAATCATTTATAATACTGAAACCCTTGTAGTTTTTAATGTATGTTTTTAGTTTTCCTACTAATAAACACAAGATATCTTCACAGACAATCCAAGTCAAAGTAAATAAACTTATCTCACCTATTTTTCTATAAATAGTACAGATATATGAGTGTATATTTTTGCAGAATGTAAATCTGAAATAGAAGTAGAATTTTCCTCAAATATCAACACAAATATATTTATTTTAATGCATATTCTTATAAATAGCAATTTCCTATCATTTTTCCTGAGGATATTTTCAAATGAAAAGTGACTTTCAAATGAAAAATTGAAGTATGCATGATACACAGGCCAACTTCTGTGTATTGGTATATTTCTGCAACAATACACAGAAACCCATCAAAACTTCACTGATTAAAAACTTTTCCTATGTATTTAGGATACATTATCAACAGGATTTTTCCCTTGGGAATTTATATATAAATGTTAAATTAGGAAAAAAAGAATGGGTCAAAAATTTCTTATCATGCACCTGTTTGCTTACAAATAAACAAAACACCTCAAACCCAGCAGTACCAACAAGTTAAAATCTAAAACCTTGCAAGTGAAGGATATATTAACATAATCTGATATTCTTCCTTAAAAGGGACCTTACTAAAGACTGAAAAAAAATTTAATACCAGAGAATAAATGACTTAAAAACTATATCCAAAACAAAAACTTTTAATTTGTTGTATTTCTTGTTTCAACTACTTTTTAAAGTTCTTTGGGCAAAAAAAAAGTATAATGCAAAATGTATATATTAATAAATACTTGAATTACTGCCTACATTTTCTAAAGAAATTGGAAACAACCAATTAATCTACTGGCGTTTTAATGTGAGGGAAAACACACATATTATGAAGGAAATGGAACACTCAAGCATGGAATAAGACTGCCTAAGCCAACGTTCCTTGGAACTAAGAATGCCAAGAGTTGCCATGTGCAAAAATCTGTGCAAAAAATTCTATAGCCCAATGAAGCTTGGGAAATGCCTGTTCAAAAAAGTGAAATAGGTAGCGAAGGGCCTCCCAGAGCAGTCAATATGCTAATGTTCATTTTAAATCACATCATATGTTATAATAGGCAGAGTTTTCCAGAATTACTCAATAAAATTTTTTCCCTTTTTTTTTTGGCACAAAGAGAGGAACATGCCTGGCCAGTGGTGAACATACCTGTATGACTACACCTAGGTCTTGATGTAACTTCTTTGGATACTCATATTCCTTGTCTTTGTAACAAAATTCAGGTCCCCCAAACCAAACATTTTTTTGGACCTCTGATATAACTGCTCTGTTAACCACTTTGCATTGGTCAGAAATTTACATTTCTCTTGCATTTCATGTTGTTTCAATGGACATTTGTTTTCTAATGTTGCACTTTGAGAGAAAGAAGCACCAACCTGAATGCTTCAAGGTACTCAATATCTCCCATGGGGGGGTCAAGGCCACCTGTCCAGGCAATATTTATATTGTATCCTTCTCCAAGGCCTGTTCCAACCTAGGAAGAGAAAAACCACACCACAGTGGGCAGAGGAGAGCACAGGGAAGAAGCAAGAAGACAGGAAAACAAACACATGTGTGCTCTTGAAATAAACATCAAACAACATGTCAAATCAGTCCAACCTTGCTTGACAACCAGTGCTCTGGGTTATGCACTTGTTCTGCGCTGGTTCTTGGTCCCGTGGGACAATTCAGTAATCTCGTGTAATTTAAAACACCAGCAAAGGACAAGAAAATTAGGGGTAATCATGCAATGCAATTACCCGAAAGATACAAATAAAAGTGGGGCTCTAAAGAAATAAACCGAACCTCATTTGGGGCTCCACTGCCAGGGAAAAAGTTCCCTTCATCATAGCGATGGAGTGAAACATACAGGATGTTGGGGTCAGCATAAAAGGCTTGCTGTGTACCATTTCCATGGTGAACATCCTACAGGGAAAAGAAAACAGATGACAAATACAGTCACGTCTAACTCTGTGTGGAGACAACTTTCCTGATGTCTAGTTCCCTGTCTTTCTACCCCACCCTCCTTCTCATTTTCTGTCTTCTGTATCCCTCTTTCTTTCCCGTGTTCAGCTTGCTTCCACACCACCCCCCTTTACTTCCTGAACTTTCAGGCAAATTACCCTTTAATGCACTCATTTTTTAAACTGGCTTCTAAAAATCAGGAAACCACAGAGAACATGCCCTGGAGACTCCAGATGAGCAGTCATTGAGAAAGCCCAGTCCTTTGGTACAATTAGATATTTATACACCGGCCCTTTGTACTCTTTGCTTCAGTGATGGAATCTTGCATCCTGTTTTATGGAGGAATTTTATGACTTATTAACTGCCAACAGTTCATAACCCCTCAGGCTTAATTAACTAGCCTCATTGGCCTCTGAAGAAAGACTAATGTTTAAACTACAAACCAGTATTCTGCAGAAGGATCTATGGCTTACAGAGCATTTTCACAATTCTTGACAGAACACTAAACATACGTGTATGCATTGATTTGCCAAGTCCCACCATTAAGGTCAAAGGCTTTGCAACCAGCTGAGTAAATTGGCTTTCTTGAAGCGTTCAGTTCAGTTAGCAGTCCCTCAGCAGTTAGAATGACTTCAAAAGAGATGCCAGATGCAAAAAGGACTTCATACTTTATTTTGGTAAAATTGTGACGGCAAGAGTCGAAGACACAGGAGCATGAGCTCATTAGCTATTAAATCATTTGGGCCAAAAAAGAACTACGGCATGGGCCTTTATGCGATCTTGTCCAATCTGCCTAATTTTAATATTATATTATGGCTCTCTTCCCAGCCTCCTTCCTCCTCTTTTTTCTTTCCCTACACCATTCCTCCTTCCCACAGGAAAAAAGTCAGTTTCATCAAAATGAATGAAAAAAATTCTTATGGCATTCATATTCAATAGTGATACAAAACTTAATAGCTCTTTTTTCTAATTGTCTTATGATACAAACATGCTAGAACTGATACAAGATATGGGAAAAATAAAACTAATAGCATTTTTTAAATGTCCTTACTAAAACACCTCAAGCATTAAGAGTCTCAATTAATGTGGTTCCTAAATAGTTTCTGAACAAAATAAATTACTCTTAAAAGCAAATAACCTACATATTTGTATTTAATATAGTATTACTGCTATATGTATAACATATATAGTTTCAGGTTCTGTTACAAAAAATTTTTGGTTACTTGTAACTACCTACTTACACTGTACTTTATTTTGTATCAGTATGAATCACACTGTTTTCAACAATGCTTCCTAAAAATTTTGAGTCAGGTACCATATTAAACATCTCACATAGATTATTTGACATTTATGCGAGGTATATGGTATTATCCCTAATTTAAAAGGTAAGTAGACTGAGACTTGGAGAGTTTCAATAATTTTTCAAGACAAGGTCTTGAATCCACTTCTTACTCCTAAGGCCAAACTCATAACCATTATGCTGTTAATTTACAATTACATTCATTATCTCATTGATTCTCTTGGTAAAACTATGAAGTGAGACTGTTGGTCATCATTGCCCATTATTGAGGTTTATATAAGTTGTCTCCATTTCAACCTCCAGCCCAGAACTCCCTCACTAGACACCATCAAAACCTACATTTGGTGATTTATGAAAGCCTGAAGTTTCCTTGCCATCCACAGTGCAGACATACACTAATATACCTTCCCTCTTTCATACAGTACACATATCCAATTAAGGAATCATAGAATATTGGGGAAGATAGGCATCCTTCCAGAAACTTGTCTTGGCTAAAGGCATATACATATCAGGGGAAAAAACAGCATACTGAAAAATATTAAATCTTGGATTTTAGGATGTTCAAAGGATAGGAAGGAGGAGATAGTAAAACGTTTCCTTTATGAGAACAGAAATGAAATAATTTAACCCACAATGTCTCAAATTTCTTAATGGATATCTAGAGGATGGACAAACAAAATACTCTGAAAAATAACACTGATAGAAAGCTTTGTTTCTATTACAAGATAGAATTTTCAGTCAGTGTTTTAAGAAAAATTGTGCTCTGGGCCTAGACATATCAACAGTTTGAAAACCAGTAAAATATTGTCTTGCTGTTGTAAAGGTTTATTTAAGACAGTCAAACACAAGATAATTTGTCTTAGATATAAAATCATTTGTTTTGAAAAACAGGTTGGGTGCTTATCATTGCATAAATTTCAAAACAAGAAATACAGTCTTGCCCACAGCACAATAAGGCCTCAACAGATACTATTCATTAAAATTTACAAATTCATTCTAAAAATACATGGATAATTCTTTACTCCATATTTATATTCAGAAAGCATTTAGAGATATAGGTAAATTCAAATGTGCCTTTTGTTTTGGGCAACAACTTATATTCAGCTTTCTCTGAAAACACACATACAAAGTGCCTACTGGTCAGGTATGATCTGAACACTTTTTCTCCATAGCAACAACATAAGACAATCATTGGTGATGATGAGGACTTGCTATAGTAAGAAAATGAACCAAATAACTCACAGCCTCAAAACAGATCTTGCATCTAAGATTTGCTGGAAAATACTAAAAAACCACTAGCTTACTAGTTAAAGATACACTGTGAAAATGTATTCTATGCAAGGATTTAGAGCCAATATGTTTTCACTACAATGTTAAAATAGCTCTGAATAAATTTATTCTATCAACTAATGTTATTACTTAAAATTATTTAGTACTGGCAATTCTTGGGTCAAGTTTGGTGCTTGACTGAAAATTGAATTCCCAAAAATATAAGGACATTTGAAGAATCCTTTTTAAAAACGAAAATAGCCTGAAATGTATTCTTTTCAACTGAAAGTCATATTACGTAAAAGCTACCTGAGTCATGCAGGCACATCCTAGGAGAGGTTCATGCTCTAACACAATGGCCAATCTCTTGCAAGCTGAAAAGCAAGTGCACCTTCTCCCTCTCCTTACCAAACTGAAGGTCTTTGGAACCTTCCCCAAAAGGAAAACTAGAAGATTAAGCTCCCCAGATAAACCAGAAACCATCTCTGCCTAAAATATTCAACATCTCTGAATTTCGCTGCAGACTCAAATAGAGGGTGAATTAGAGCTCTGGCTCTCTAATTAGTAGGCATCTAAAAATGACGAATCTAGCTGCTGGAACAATGGAGTGGCTCTGGCTTCTGTTGGCCCAAGAACTGGTGGAGCTGCGGTTCCTATCAGTTAGCTAAAGTCAGTGAGTTTGGATATGCAGGAATGAAGATCTTTTGTCACTGAAGCACCTTTACTTTTCCTCTGCTCTCTTGCAGAACAGACCTGTCAGCCAGGGAGAACGGATGTCTCAGCGCCACGTGGCACTTTAAAACTTCCTTCTCAGCAGCTGGAAGAAACAGGGGAATTTCCTCAAAGTGTTCCTGCAGCTGCAGAATCTGGAAGACTTGAAAGCAAGAATATGCGGGCTGGTGGTGATCTCAGAGGCAACCCTTTGGAAAGAACCTCGTATGTTTAGAGAACATGAAACAAAACCTTCTCTTCTACTGCAGCCTGCTGGGAAATCAGCGTCCTTTATGTGGGATAATGGAGCAAATTCATAATCAAAGGCCAGTAAGCTTACAGGACACTCCTGGTAGCTACCAAGCAACTTATTTTATAAATCATAGCAAATTATATCCCGGAAATCTTTTTATTTTATATGAAGGTACAAAAACAAAGCTTTACACACAAATCCTCTGAGGCATAAGATATCCATCCATCACCATCCAGGCATTTTAGCTTTCATGTCTATTGTACAGTCCATTGCTCTAGAGTCTGGATGTCACACGTGTGCTTTCAAAGAGGCTCTTAACAGTTATTATCTTCCTAGTAGTGGAGAGTCCTCAGAAAATAACACGAAGAAATTCTGAAAGACAGGGTGACAGTTTACCAATCTCTTTCCTGCATAATTTTGACAAATTTAGAATGTGTAGAAAGATTTTCCTCACAATCCTTGGTCTTCATCTGCTGCCCTTTCTTCAAGTTTTTAGCTTATCTTTCTAGCAGAACTTAAGTGTTTTAGAAGCATATTAAAATTATTTTGAAGATTTAGTATCTTATAAATCATGTAAGCCAATAATTATTCATTTTTTAAAATGTCATTTTGTATATACATGGGAAAATAGGAACTGATGTCCTCGTTTTTGTAAAATTTTAAGACCTCACTGCTGTAGTATATCTAGGCCTTCAACACGCTTCTTTAAAATGTTGAACTATGACCTACACTGAAACTTCAGCACGTTTGGAAAACACATGGAAAGCTGGGTTTCAATACTCTCAGCACCAGAGAACTTGTAGGAAGGCTACAGAGCAGTATGGGGGAAAAGATCCACTCCTTTGGAACGCCAGAAATGGTTATCAGCCTTTTATTCCTTTTTTACTTTAACTTGACTGTTTCTTCACAGGGCTTTGTTTGCTCTCTCCCCACCCTCTGGCAGGCCTGCCTAACTGAATCAGAGGACCAGGCGGTAAGGCCACGGCTTCCCAATAAGATTTAATTATGAGTGCAGATATGAACAAGATTTAGACTATTAAGCCTTGCACTTCAAAAAAACTTCTAACATATTTTGCCTTTAAATCTTTTATCACCTGCAAAAATTAATTAAGTGCAGATGCAGCAGGTTCGCTTTGGATGCCAGGGTTCATTTCCTGTCTATGCTTTGTCAGACAACCTATTACACCTCCTCGTGAACTGGAGGCAAACCGAAAACGGGGCTCATAAATCACCAGTCAGTTTTCTTTCGCCCTTTCCTGGGCTGGTCCTTTTGTATGGGGCAGATCTCCAGCTCATTATTCGTGAATCTACTATAGACAACATGCCAAGTGTCATCTGCATTTAAACAAACCATTTGTTAAACAAATTATAACTCTTATTGTGTAAGAATGCATCATGTTAAAAGGCAAGACTAATCGAATGCCTCTGACTCTTAATCATGCAGGGTTCCTGCCGGCAGTCATCCCAAACTGGCATACATGATCTGAGATCTTTTCAGAAAAAAAAAAAAAAAATGACACGCTGACTTGTTTTAATAATACCACTGTTGCACAACAAGCAACATGATTGCTAACCAGGGGAAGTGGCCAATTGGTTACCAAAGCAACAACATTCTTTCCAGCACATCTGACTATTTAAAGTCTATATTCTGCAGGGAAAAGTAAATTCAGGTTCTGTTGGGTTATTTTAACTGTGGAAGTATCAATTCATTTAAGGATCATAAAAGTTGCCCCGATCTGCGCCTTCTTCTCATTAAATTGCAGTTAACACCATGAAAGTGAAACGTGAATGTTTATGGTTTCAGAACTGCAATCCTGAATTTAATGAGTTTCCACATTCAAAGGAAACACACCCTTCAGTTGTTTGCAAGTGCTAAAAACAAGGCAACCTAACAGAGAAATACAAATTCAGTCCCTTTTATCTAGAGTCACTGAAAATGCAGCTCTGGCCAGGAATACATACCAGATCTACAATCAATATCTTGCTTATATTTAGTTGGTCTCTCAAGTATTTGGCGGTAATTGCAACTGAATTAAAAAAGCAGAACCCCCTGCGGAATAGAGAAGAACAGAGAAATAAGAAAGCAAATCAGCCAGGAAAACCATTATAAATAATGTTCAGAGCATTTTTTAAAATGCTATATGATCTCTGAAGCCATAAATCTGCTTCTGGGAGTACCTCGCAAGATTTCTCAGTCCATCTGCTAACAATTAGAGGCTTCAGAGACATGCATGGGGCAGGTGACCGCCAGGAACCGTGGCGCTGGGAGATGGCCAGCAGTCCTTGGTACTTACATGGCTGTGGATTCCTCAGCATGATGGCCTGGGGGCCTCACCACAGCAAATCCATTCTGTAGGAACAAGACAGATTTTCAGTGATCAGATAGGAGAGGACTGCTTAGATCTCCATGTACCAAGAGCATCAGGCACACACAAAAAGAGTGGAATCTACAAGAGGCTTCAGAAAAAGTTTTCGTGCCCCCAATACCATTTTGTAGAATGAACAGAAACAATACACGGATTATGTTTTCTCAGATCATGTCTCAGATAGAAGGCTCCCACAGAGCCAGGGGAAGAACAGGGGTTTGGGAGTTGTACCAAGCAGACAAATGGCATATCAGCTATTATCCTAGTGTGATTCATTTTCAAGGACCAGTTCTTATTTAATGACACCAGCATCCGAGAGAGGGAGAACAAGTTCATTCTTGGTGCAGGTTTGGGTCAAAGTTCAGAAAGACCAGGGAAGATCCAAAGCGAAAATTCTTTAGCTGGACACCCTCAATGGTTATTTCCACTCCAATGTCAGCAAAATGATAAATTTACACTCACACACTCAAATACACACAAAAGAAACCCCAGAAAGGTGAAAAAGAACAATGGAAAGCCCATATTTCTTCCAGTCTATAAATTTAGCTTGGATGACTGCCAAGACTTGCAACTTTATTGGATTCCCTAAGTCAATTTCTAGCCCACATTCTGGAATTTTATAAAGAATTCCAGGGCTGAGTAGCAATCAGATCTATCCATGATCAAGGAATGCCTTAACCTCCAGATTAGCTGGAATGCATCACGGAAAGCTGAAGTAACTCCAGCATGAAGGCAGGCAACTATAAATCCTTGCAAAGCCAGCACGCTCAGAAAAGTTGGGTTACTTGACGCGAAAAAAAGAAATCATTTATCAGATGGTTCACACTACCTTTCACTTAACTATGACACAAGTAATATGCTCACAACAGAATGTTTCTTTAATATACAATCCGAAAAATTTCAAATAATTTTAATATACCCCAGGGATATTTATTTCCAAATCTTACTACAAGCATAAAAATATTCCCAATAATCTATTCCCACGAGCTTTAAATATACACAAATTTTTCTAGAACATAATAGTAGCTGACATACAAGGAGTTAATTCGCTACGTATTTTGATAGGTCTATTGTTATCCTTGTGTTAGTCGCTCAGTTGTGTCTGACTCTTTGTGACCCCATGGACTGTAATCCGCCAGGCTTCTCTGTCCATGGAATTCTCCAGGCAAGAATACTGGAGTGGGTAACCATTCCCTTTTCCAGGGGATCTTCCCGACTCAAGGATTGAACCGGGGTCTCCTAATTATACGCAGATTCTTTACCGCCTGAGCCACCAGGAAAGCCCCTACATAATGATAATCCCAGAAACAAATTAGAAGTCAGTAAGTTAACAATGCCAATTACAAATCTAGGAATAATGATAAACATGTTCTATATTCTTATTTTTAAGCAACTCACTATTTCTGTGGCTAAAAAGATTAGCAAAAAAGAAACTATTAGTGGACAACACAAGATAATAGGGAGCGGCTTTTAAGATTGTAGAGTGAAACTCTATAGAGTGCTACATGACTTCTGAGAATGAAGGATTAGATTATGTGCAATATACTTTATAGGGAAAACAGTAGTTAGGGTGAAAATAACAACAAATATAATATAAGGTAATATAACTAGCATGTAGCAGAATTTTATAATTAGGTTAATATTAATGGTCTTTTATAATTAAATTAAAATACTATGTTTTATGTGTGAAGGGCATGACTAGACAGTAGAAAGAAGACATCCAACTATCTATAAGAAAAAATATTCACCTTAATTAGTAATCAAATAAAAGCAGGTGAAAATCACAATAGGAAGCCATTTTTCCACTTAGGAAATAAAACTTTAAAAACTACTCCATGGCGTGGTACCTACATATTTATAAATGCTGTTTGCAGGAAGATAACTTATTACAGGTCTTCTGGAAGATAATCTGCCTCTATACATTTAGAGCCTTCACAAAACATTTACCCTTTGAATTAGTGACCTATTACTACTTAAAGGATTTTTGCCCTAAAGGTGTTATTGTGTAGACAAATGTTTGTGTAAAAGATTATGTTTTATTTACAATAGGAAAAATGAAAATTACCTAAGTTAATTAATATTAGGCAAATAGTTAAATGAAATATGGTCCATCTATACAACAGAATATTAACACAGTCATTAAAATTTTGCTGTTACAGATATTCAGCAGAACAGAAATGACAGCAATTTTAGAAGTATTAGTGTTAAAATAATATATACAGTATGATCTATCTGTGTGATGGTATTATGTGGGTTACATTTACTTAAAAATTTCAAGTATTTTCCAAATGATTTCACAACAAACATCAATTATTTCAGAGTGAAAAAATATAAAACAAAGAGAAGGTTGAAAGGTAAATTTTAAAGGATCTAACAAGTAGAGTCATGTTCACAAAGGTGAAAAAGGACTTAACTGATAGTCTGGGCAGGGGGAAAGCATAAATGAAAAATAGTTCAGAAAAAAGGATTTTCAAAAACATTACGCACAGAAAATCAACCTGAACAGAGTTCACCCTAAGGAACAAAACGGAAGTGAAACTGTGCAGGTAACCAGCTGGATTACAGAAGACAAATAAAAGTTATTAACAGAATTAATAAATATCACTTATTCCCATCTTCCTCTTTTCTCTTACAGCCAAATTTGAACAAAAGGTCTGCCTTTCACTATATAGTTTTCTTCAGCAACCTCTACCACTTTACTGAACTGCTTTGTTTTAGACTGAAAATTATCTTATTGCCAATAACAAATATTTCCTTACTCATTTTGATGTACCCATACTTTCAAATGTGTTCTCAGGAATGCAGAAGTCCCCTACATTTTCCCAGTCTTTTCTGAGGGCCCTGCGCCTGCATTTTCTTAGCTGAAAGCTGGAAAGGCTGCTTCTGCCACCTATTTGCTCTCTCACATCTCACCAACCTGCCTGCAGTAGCAGATGGAGCTTTGTGTCCTCCTGTCTCCTGGCTGCTTTCAGAACGTGAAGCCCATTGTGCCAACTGCCATCAACACTCTCTTATAGAAAAAAGGACTAGGTTACCCAGAAAGAGCAAGCAGAACACAAGACGATGGCTGAGTCCTGGGGCAATCAGCTCTCTTTCCCTCTTGCTGCACTAGAGGGTTGCTAGTTCTCTTAGAATCTCTCTCTGAAACTGTGGTTAGAATAACATCCCCTCCTACTTTCCCACTATCATTTAGTGTTTTCCTCAATAACATATTAAATTCATGTTAAAATTCCCAATTGTATTGATTTCATCAAAATTTAAATAGGCTCAAGTTCATGCCATCTTGAAAATAAAATTTTATACATATATGTTCACTTAGATAACACAAATACACACACACATAATATGTATCTCCATCCTTACTTCCATTAATCCTTACTGTCACACTTCTTTTCTTCCCCTTTTAATGCTAAAAATCTTGAAAAGGTGGTCTATCCTGCTTTCTCTCTTTGTCTTTTCTTCACCTCTGCTTCAGTCACCTATCGCTAATATGTCTTACACCTCTATTAGCTCACTAAAGCAGCTCTTACTAAGGTCACCAATAGCCTCCATATCACTAAATAATGACATTTTTATTCTCTCGGCCTACTCGGTCTCACATTGGCTTGCGATACTATTTGCTACATCTTCCTTTTTAAAACAGTCTCTCTCCTTTGTCTTCTGTGACCGCGTTTTCTCCTGGTTCCTTATCTCTCCGCTTCCGCATCAGTGTCCCTTAAGGCTCTTACTTCCCAATCTGCTCATTAAATCCTGAAGTTACTCAGGCCCCAGTCTTAGGCTCGTCCTCTCTCTATACTTACTTTGTAAACAATGTCACCACTCTCACGGAACTCAGTTACTACCCATCATCCAATATTTCACAGATTTTTATTTCCAGGATGAACTCTGCTCTAGGCATCAGACCGAAATACCAGGCTACTTACTTGATATATTCACTGGGATATCCCAAGAACACTTCCAATTTAGAACGTCCAGAGTCAAACTACTGATCCTCTCCCAGCCTTCTCTAACTTACCAGGGATACCATGATTCATCCTGTAGCTCAAGTCATGAACCAATGAGTATCCTTAACGGCTCCCTCTCCCTATTCATCCTCAGATGTTCTGTGCTTAGTTGCTCAGTCAAGTCTGATTCTTTGCAACCTCATGGACTGTAGCCCACCAGGCTCCTCTGTCCACAGGATTCTCCAGCCAAGAACACTGGAGTAGGTTGCCATGTCCTTCTCCAGGGGATCTTCCCAACCCAGGGATCAAACTCACACCTCCTGCGGCTCCTTCATTGCAGGCAGAGTCTTTAACAGCTGAGCTACTTGGGAAGCCAATTCTTCCTCTATCTCATTTTAATTCATGACCAATTCCTGTTGATTTTGCTTTTAAATATCACTCATATCTCTGTACTTATATGTATATCCATTCCTTGCATATTTTACCTTCTGAATTTCTGCCTTTGTCTCCATCACTCCTCTGTTAATTTGTGATTTCAATAACCACATGGACAATCCATTCAATATCCTGATTTCTTAGTTCTCTGACTCCTTGCCTTCCATAAATCTGTCTTCTGTTTACAGTCATACTCCTAGACTTTGCCATTGCCAATAAATAATGACATATCTTCCAAAATCTCAATGTCAAATACCCTACTCTCCTATTTTCCGGTTGAAGCTTCAACTGCACTGGGATTTCCAATTCTTTGGCCTTACTAAACTTTTGACATACAATATACATCATTCAATCCCCACCACCATGTTTATTTCCCTCCTAATATGGCTGAGACTTTAGAGCCCTTCATTATATTTATTTCTCTGCATGTAAATTTAAACAAGTTGTCCCTTTTCCCTTCCAACATACTCCCCCAGTAAGTTGGTCTGCTCAGGTTCCCAAAATAAAATACCATGGTCTGCGTGCCTTACACAACATAAGTTTACTTCTCATAGTTCTGGGGGCTGGAAGTTAAGATTAAGGTCTGGCAGGATTTGGTTTCTGTT